CATTACAATGGCTAAAACAACGTATCTCACAACATAAAAGTGATTACCGCTTGGGAAAAAATACTTGTGCAGTAGTTGAGCACCATGAAAATACCGGTCATATTCTTGACTATAACAAAAATCACATTTTGAACCAGACTGATAACTTTAAACTATAAAACAGACACTGGACAGTTAAGTAACATATATTGTAATGTATTGAACAAAATTTATAAATATTCAAAATAGTCAACATTCTCCTTAATAACAACTAACCTTAATAGTTCATCAAAGAAATATAATTCTTCTAACGTTTTCTTTTATTTTATCGTTGTTTTTTGTTTTTACATTTGTAGTAATTTAAATTTTTTTTATCGTATTGCTGTGGGGAACGTGCTTAGGACAGTTTAATCTTGACGTTCAAAATACTTTATATACTTAACGTTAGTTTTATTTCTGAAATATTTTAATTTCTGTGAGTGTTTTTTTAAATCTAATTGTACATCAAATGTTTGTAATGTTCTAACTGTTTTACAGTTTACTCCTGATGAAACTATTAAATAAATGGCGAAATATTGAGTCTTGAAAAAAAAACAAAGATTTTTATTATAGACCACTATACATGACATTTCTTACGTATTTATAAATTATTTTTTGGTCGAAATAATCACTTTTATTATATATACTTATTATTAATACAATTATTAAGATCCCCTGACCTGCAATTACCCAGTGTAAATTTCAATATAACGTCGCGATGTCTTATAATTAATTCATTTTTTCGACTGGATTGCTCCTCCTTGGCGATTTCTCTAGTAGCGTATTCGATAGGTGTACGTCGACACTGTTGTCTATCGTCCACTGATTTTCTGTGTTTTTGTGCAGATAATAACAATGTTTTATTAATAACAATTTTTTTGTGTTCATTAGATATTATTTGAATTGGTTAGTGTATAGTTTAATATATTTATTATTCCAAATATTGTTGATAATTTAAAATTTAAAAGGATGTATATGATACATCAAAATCCACAGATTTTTGCCGAAGGTATCTATCGATTTGGCAACAGTCCCAAGGAACATCACTGGCCGAGCAAAACAAATACATGCCCTTTGCTTTGCTTCTCATTATAACGCCATAAGCTGAAATAAAAGTAGTGTTTCTAACCATAAACCATGTATACAAACAAAGAAAAAGTACAAATTTTAAAATGGTATTATGGGGGCAACTCGTACCGTGATATTATAAACTTATTTACTTGTGCGTATGAAGATAGGCCAATACCGATACAATCAACTATTAGTCGTATTATTAAGGTGCGCACGTGCGCAGCAGTCGAAAAATATCGACTGGAGAAGGAGTCCAGTCGAACAAATGAATTAATTATAAGACATCGCGACGTTATATTGAAATTTACACTGGGTAATTGCAGGTCAGGGGATCTTAATAATTGTATTAATAATTCGTATGTTCCGTTTTGAATCTTCCAATACTATATATATATATATATATATATATATATATATATATATATATATATATATATATATATATAAAATAAGGATCACTCGAATAGTGGCGGGTTTTTTCGGTCAAAAATTGGAGAAAAAAAGACAAAGATGATGGCTACTTCATCTATTTATTGAAAACGTTTCGCTATCCAATTTGATAGCATCATCAGTTCATCTAAAAAGAACAATATGAAAAACCTAACATCCAATGAAAAGCTATTAAGTATGTTACCTCAAAAAGATATGTAGCAGTCAAAGATATTCACAATTCACATACAATAGATGTATGTTAAAAAAAATATAGGTAAAAACTTTATCATGTATAAAAAACAAAAATAGTATAGAAAAGAACTAAAAGGTCCAAGAATGCACTTCCAACAGTTATTAAATAATTATGATTTCATTTTAACTTTAGGTGGCATTATTCTAATGTTTAATTAAAAATTTTAGTAATTTAAAAGTAATAATGAAGTTACCACTAAGCTTGTCGAGTGCTGCGGTGAAATGAAGGCAACAGGTGTTAAACGTCAACAACGTGAAAAGACAGATGCCAAGGTCAACTAGTGACAGATCAACAAGGCGTATTACTACCAACTCCAGTACAATAGAGCGGTTTATTTAAAAAATATGACAAAATTTGGTCGACAAACTGTCTGTAAAAACCAAAAAACTGAAAGGAAAAGGTGGTTAAGAACTCCTTTTTTCCCTCCAGTAATCGGTTGAGATGAAATAAAGAACAAACAAGAGAAGTCAATCCAATAAATCATATGTTAATAGTCTACGTTGTGACTGATTAGCCAGCCACAGGGGAAAGTTGATCAAACTTCCAACAGTCCAAGGTTCATCACATCTAGAACTGAATTTAATAAGATTCTATGAATCAATTTATGATAATAAAGTTGTATTAAACTATTTGTATGGAAACCATTAACACAATTGTACAAAAGCAACGTTGACATGAAATCATGCAGTCATGAAATGTAGGTTGCATAAATCTAGGATAATTTTAAGGAAGAGTTTATTATTTAAATTATTTTAATTTATATTTGAAAATTATTAAACGAGAAATTATGTAAAGAAAACACCTTAGGTGACAATTTTTAAAGTTAATAACATAGTAAGCCTAATTCTGCAATATTAGAGCATAATAAATTTGGCTCAAGTTATTAATGTCAGTTCTCTTATTAAGAGTATTAGGGTGTTTAAGTATATGACACATTTCTAGAAACTGTCTTTTAACGAGATTACGTTGAGAACCAAGAATCTTAACTTCAATAAAATCTACTTTGTGTTTAGTGTTAATAGCATGCTGTGCAAGGGCACAAGTATGCTTAGATAAGTTAATATCACTGCGGTGTGCCGTAAGACGCCCTCTCAGTGATCTCCCCGTCTGATCGATGTAGCACGAGTCACAATCAGCACAAGGTAAATGATAAATGACATTAACTTGTTCCAGAGGGGACAAGGGTGTTTTGGTTATTGAAAACAAATTTATGACAGTCTTGGCATTCTTAACCGCAATTTTAACAGGAATGTTCTTCTGTTTATACAGTTTAATAAGTTTATCAGTAACATGAGGAAAGTAAGGTAAAGATGAGTACTGGGTGGTAGGAGTCCCAAGTGCAGTACCAGGCAGAACAGTGTCATTAAAAGAATTATTTGATATTATTCTAAGTTGTAAGAGAGAGTTCTAAGTAAGATATATATATATATATAATATATATATATATATATATATATATATATATATATATGTATATATATATATATATATATATATATATATATATATATGTGTGTGTGTGTGTGTGTGTGTGTGTGTGTGTTTGTGTGTGTGTGTGTGTGTGTCAGTATAATTTAAAAAAAATGATAATATAAAATATATAAAAGAATCTGTAGTTTTTCATTTGTAAAGTAAAATACGGTCTTTTAGTTTTTACCTAACCTTTAAGATTTATATTTGCCAGTCTAAGGATAGGAAATTGATCCTAAATTTAATGATTTAAAATAATAAAATACAAGGCACCAAACATGGATTAAAATTTGACATAAAAGAAGAATTTGGCAGAAAATTAGTAAAACTAACGGAGGCAATAAAGGAAATGGTAACCAAAATAAAAAAACGAGGAAGTTTCTGAAGCACTACAAAAAGCAAACAAGTGTAAAGCAGTGCAACCAAAATACTTGGAGTCATAATTAGGAAAAATTAATAGAATGTTGGCTCATAGGTTTATTTAATACAATTATGAAAGTGTGACAAATTCCTCATGCTAGACATATTTGTGAGGAAACCGAAATATTAAAAAATTCGCTTGGATTCACGTAGAGGATAAGCTCAACACTGCACTACATGACACAGTATAGACTGGGATGGTAAATTCTCGCCAGGGGCAGGGTTAAATAAAGGATAACCAAATAAACGCCCTCGGATCTTTTTTGCCTTATCTAAAACGTCGATTTGTTAATTAAACATGACACACACCTGCGCTCACATCCAAACCTAAAATAGGTGCACATACACAAAAGCAAATCTACATCAGTAGATCAACAGTCATAGGCAGCGAAACTGACTCACCATACAGTAAGATTTAGTCTGTGACTATTGCGCAGCTCAATCTCGAGGTATATATAAGTCTATTAGAAAAGTGTTGCCTAAGGGACATCCCAGAGAGCTGACGAATTCTATAGGATTATAGCAAGAATACGGTATATATGTACTCCCGGTGTCTGACAGTTCGTCCCAAATAAACGCTTTACGTAGGGAACGATCGGAAGAATAACCCCAGTCGCGGATTATTATTAATAACCCCGATCAAGGTACTACAGGTAAATCTTCAGCACAGTAAGACAGCTTCGACAGAACTTAATTTTATTATGGGAGTATTCCCATTGTGATATCGCGATAATACAAGAGTCCTGGTATACAAGGGACACATGAAAGGTCCATAGGGCGAGCTTATATATAACAAGTCTTACGAAGTCCCAAGTGCTTGTGCAATAGTTAATGGAAAACAAATAATGAAATAAGCGAATTGGGTGCAGTACGACTGATATAAAATATAATAGATTATTTAAAGATTAGAAATTAAGGAATCTGGTAAACTTAATATGAATAAAGAAAGAAGCGATAATATGCCATTTTTCTTGAAAAATCGTATTGTAGAATACATAAAGAGGTTTTCTGAAGGGTAGTAATAAGAAAGGATTTTATTACATCGTAGTAAATTACATAATAAATTACAAATTACAAACTTTTCATTAGTTTAAGTTTAATTAAAATAGATAAGATAGATATATAGATAGATAGATTAAATTATGTTATTATTATTATTTCTATAATTAACATTTCTATAAATAGTGATATAAAGACTCGAATACTGATTGAGAATGAAGAACATTGGTCCAAGTTAAAGAAGCACACAGTAAACTATTTAAAATTTAGATATTGTTAATAAAGGTATGTATTATTACGTATAACAAATATTTTTAGATAATACAAATAGACTTACATATTTTTTCAGAACAATAAAGAACACAAAAGAATGGCAATATACGAAATATACTTTTTGTACCTTTTTTAACTTTTTTAACACCTAATCGACCGATCGATTATGTCAAAACGGATATAATCGCCTTAAATACGATAATATTAAAATGTTTTGAAACATATCAAGGATTAAATATAAACAAGAAACATGTTTAAATTACTTTATTTTTCTGCATAGGTACTAATTAAATAATTTTCATAATTAATAAATTTCAATTAAAGGTATTAGGTTTTTATTCTATGTTTTTATACCTATTAAATTAATTAAAAATATCTGCATATTTTATATATTTACTATTTCATCACTTCTAATTTGTAACATGCTTAATTTATTGATATTTAAATGTCACAATTGGAACTTATTTTGACTTTGGATACTGCAGTTATGAATTGACATCACTTTTGGTCATACAGCTTAAAAGTTGATTCAAACCAATAGTCACGGGAAGATCAGATCACAGCCAAATCACCGTCAAGTTTACTTCAGCATTCAGATCGATCAAGATGTAACAAATGTATAAACAATTTCAGTTGTAGTGTAAAACATTTTTTTTTAACTATTTTTCATTGTTAATTAATTTAATTTAGACTACTTATATTATACTAAATAAAGTGCCGAATATATTGAAACTGGAAGGAAATTAAAAAAGTTAGTTTCTTTGCGGCCCCGACGGTCAAGGAACACCGTTTTTTTTTTCTCACTCATTTTTTTATTTTAAATTAAGTACTTAATTTTTAACAATGATTATTGTCTTACGAAAAACTGAACATGTCTTAAACTGTCGTGAAATAATTTATTTCACGACAGTTTAAGCATCATCAATTCATCTAAAAAGAACAATATGAAAAACCTAAAATCCAAAAAAAAGTTATTAAGTGTGTTACCTCAAAAAGATATGTAGTAGTCAATGATATTAAAATTGTAAAGAAGCTTACGACAATGGACATTATAAAATTATGTTGTATAAACAATAAATTGAACTAAATATTGTTAACAATTTTCATAAACTTTACACAGCAAAAGACATGTGGTAGTTGTACATGTATGTAAAAAATTTTGTTAAAAATTTATATAAAAAAGCACATTCATGTGAAAAAGAACTAAAAGATCTAAGATGCACTTCCAACAGTATATCAATAGTTAAAATTTAATTTTGACTTTGGGTAGCATTATTAAAATGATTAATTAAAAATTTAGTAATTTAAAAGTATAATGGAGTTACCACTACAAGCTTCTAGGCTGCTGCCCGTGAAATGAAGGCAACAAGTGTTATAACGCCACTAACGTGAAAAGACAGATGCCTTGAGGTCAACGCGTGACAGAACAACAAGGCGTACTAATACCAACTCTAATATAATAGGGCGGTTTATTTAAAAAATATGACAAATTTGGTTGACAACCTGTCTGTATAAACCAAAAAATGAAAGAAAAAGGTGGTTGAGAACTCCATTTTCCCCCCAGTGATCGGTTGAGATGAACAAAGAACAAATAAACGAGGTCAATCCAAAAAATCATATATTAATAGTCTACGTTAGCCAGCCAACAGGTGAAGAATGAAATTTCTTCGCCTGTTGAAAAAACGCCAAAAATTGAGTTTTAAGTTCAAAGCTACCATACATTTCCAGCGTTATAAAAAAACTTTTTTTGCATATAGTAACAAAAAACACCACTATGTTGTTACTAGTTAAGTTTTTTAACATTCTAATTCAACAATTCTAAGTTACGGTAAGATCAAATGTTTTTTAATAGATAATATATGGTAGCTAAGTATAATTTATTCTCTTTCAGCCCTGAAGAAGCCAAATTAATTCTCTTTGGCGAAAACGTTCGGCGAAACATACTCATTAGAGTCTTTCTTGCAGATTTCCCCAATATTTAAGAGTTTACTATATATATATATATATATATATATATATATATATATATATATATATATATATATATATATATATATATATATATATATATATATATATATATATATATATATATATATATATATATATAGATAGTTTTTCGTGATTTCGTTAGTTTCGTTATATTTTTATTTTATTTTTAATTTTTATTTTATATATATATACAGGGTGAGTCATGAGGAACTTTACATACTTCTACCATATGTAGAGTCCCTCAGGGAGCATATCATGTGGCCACTAAAAAATGTCAACTCCTCTTCTTTACTAATTAACAGGGTGATCTGTGTAATTGACCATTTATTTCATTTTACTGTAGTGTTTATACGGCTCATTTGATTTTTTTAATTTTTGCATGATACAGTACACTACTATCAAGCATTCGACTGGTATTAGCTAAACTAAAAAATTCTAGGACTGGCTTTGGAAAAATTAATTTAGGGATTCGTATTAAATATTACACCCTGTATATATATTTTTTTAAATGCAATAAGTGATTTTCAAACTACATAAATAGCCAATGAAAAGGACATATGCGACAATGTTGTCGCACTTTTATTAAATTTTTAGTGAACGATCAAATCTTACCAAAAATAGAACAACCATAATGAAGTATCAAATTATAAGGTAATTAATTTAAACAAATGTTATAAATTTCAAACATTTTAATTGAAATGATAAACTGAGTCACTTCACAACAAAAAACAGTAACTACTAACAATAACGAAGAACAATTAAAAAAAAACTAAAAATATGTACATAGTTATGATAAACCCATAAATTAGAACTGGAAAAAATACAATAATGGTAACAAAATAAAAATAATTCAAAATAGCTTTTCGAAATGGAACCCTGCAGCCTGTACACATTTTTGTTGCCGAATTGTTTATTGACGTATTGAATTACGGATACTCTGGGGATCGTTTCTAATAGTATTACAACAATGTATAATTCTATCAATTAATTGTTGTCGGTTATTAATATTCACTGCGTAAACTAGTTGCTTCAATCGTCCCCAAATATGGTAATCAACGGGATTGAAATCAGGGGATCTTGAAGGCCACAAATAGGACCTGCACGTCCTATCGACCTGTTGCCATAAACATTATTGAGATGTTGTCTCACTGCCAGTAAAAAGTGTGGGGGCGCCCCATCATGCTGAAAATACATCCCTCGGATAGCAACGTTCGCGTTGGCAAGCAAATTCGGCAAAATATTTTGTAGAAAGTTCAAATAGACCTGCCCTGTTAAAGGACCATCAAAAAAGTGAGGACCTACTAATTGGTTATTTATGACACCAATCCACACGTTAACCGAAAACCTTAACTGAGAACGACGTTCTCGAATAGCATGGGATTTTCTTCTGCCCACACATGTGAATTTCGTGAATTATTTATCACGTCTCTGGTAAATTGGGCTTCATCTGTAAATAGTGTCCTGTATAGCGTTGGTCGATTATTGTTAATCCATCTACAAACTTCCAACCTATCGATCTCATCTCCAGCATGTAGTCGCTGAACCATTTGAATGTGATATGGGTATAGATTATTTTTTTGTAAGACTCTACTTACTTTTGATTAGCAAATTACTTTTGAGTAACATTGAGTTCTCGACTTACTTGTCTAGTGCTTATTGTAGGGCTCATAGTAACGGCGTCCATAATGTCATCTTCCTGCGCTTCATCTACATGTCGCTCTGTTGTTCCAGTAGGAAAAGTGCCATTTTCTCGCAAATAATTAAAAACTGACCCAAATGTTGGATGACTGGGAGTTCGACGATTAGGAAATCTCCTGCGATATTCTCTACTAGCAGCCCTACCATTCCCATTACAAAATCCATAAACAAATATTATGTCTGCATATTCTGTGGTCGAAAACTGATGTGGCATTTTGAACGAAAGTAACAAAAGCCCTACCAAAACTAACACAATGTACTTAACGTAGATATGACAGAAGAAATATGTATTTTTGTACACAATGTATGACAATAATGACAATGGGTATAAAATATCAAGAAACGTCAAACGGTCAACGCCAACCTTCATTTTAAACTTTTTTAGATTTATTTTTATTTAGTACAGTTGATGCAATGTATTATTATTTGACATAAAATTTTAATCATTTACAATCAACAAAAACTAACACATACAAGAGGTTTGACTTTTTAATCAATTTAATTTATTATTTATCGAAAATAATACCCCAATACGATCTATGAGTAAAAATTTAAAATTGATTCTATCGTAGAGATAATACAAAGTGACAGTAAAGATGTTAATTTTCTACGTATTAGATTATGTTGTAGGAACTCATTTTAATTAAAATGTTTGAAATTTATAACATTTGTTTAAATTAATACCTTATAATTTGATACTTCATTATGGGTGTTCTATTTTTGGTAAGATTTGATCGTTCACTAAAAATTTAATAAAAGTGCGACAACATTGTCGCATATGTCGTTTTCTTTGGCTATTTATGTAGTTTGAAAATCACTTATTGCATTTTAAAATATATATATATATATATATATATATATATATATATATATATATATATATATATATATATATATAGGGTGTAATATTTAATACGAATCCCTAAATTAAGTAGTGTACTGTATCATGCGAAAATTAAAAAAATCAAATGAGCCGTATAAACACTACAGTAAAATGAAATAAATGGCCAATTACACAAATCACCCTGTTAATTAATAAAGAAGAGGAGTTGACATTTTTTAGTGAATGATATGCTCCCTGAGGGACTCTACATATGGTAGAAGTATGTAAAGTTCCTCATGACTCACCCTGTATATATATATATATATATATATATATATATATATATATATATATATATATATATAGTAGTTTTGAGTTTCTTGAACCGTATTATATTTAATATAAAATTAATATTTCTTGGGTTAGGTTCAATAAAGATATGTTACATGTGGAACTAGATTTTATTTTCCATTGCAATTAATCAACGTTTCGGCAGGAAACCCTTGCCTTTGTCAAGATTCTAAAATGTGTATATATATATATAAGGACAAACAGATATTGTAAAATATGTATATATATATGACTTACCAAAACGTAAAACGTGACACAGACATTAAACGAACTGACATATAAAAGTTGATATCTGATATCTC